GACCACACAGACCACACAGACCACACAGACCACACAGTCCACACAGACCACACTGACCATACTGACCACACAGACCACACAGACCACACAGTCCACACAGACCACATAGACCACACGGATCACACAGACCACACAGACCACACTGACCACACAGACCACACTGACCACGCAAACCACACAGACCACACAGACCACACAGTCCACACATACTACACAGACCACACAGACCACACAGACCACACAGACCACACAGACCACACAGACCACACAGACCACACAGACCACACAGACCACACAGACCACACTGATCACACTGACCACACTGACACTCGCAATATTTCGTATATAACCTCGCAATATTTCGTATATAACCGCGCAATAACCTTTGAACGCAGGAAGAAGATATCAACTTTAAAACATTTTAAATAACTTATCAACTTTAAATAACTTTTAAGAGGCTACACAACAATTTAAATAAAGTTTAGTTATTAAGACGAGGGAACATGAGAGGGACTACGTACACTCACATGAATAAGTGAGGCTTTGTGTCCAAATAGTGGTAAATTTTTTAATTTTTTTATGGGTCATCCTGACACATTTTGGCCCGGTAAGATGGCGCGTAGCAGTGCTACCATTGATGATAATAAACTTTAAATAAACAAGTATAATAAACTTTAAATAAACAATGATAATAAACTTTAAATAAACAATGATAATAAACTTTAAATAAACAATGATAATAAACTTTAAATAAACAATGATAATAAACTTTAAATAAGCAATGATAATAAACTTGAAATAAACAATGATAATAAAACATTCATCACACATTATCATTTTAATGATATTTTAAACCTGCTTTACTTTGATGATTTGCAGTACTGGGTTTGCTGGCAATAATTTCGGGTTATTATTCCCGCCTGCCGCAATGTTATTCCTACGAGGCTGGCAATTGATCGAGCAGTGCACGAGGCTGGCGCTCGCTGAAACTCGGCACCTGAAATGCGAGCTGAAGAATATTGGCTCAATTGACGCTATTAAAGTTGACACATATTAAGTTGACTCAATTACCGTTGACACAAATTAAGTTTACTTATATTAAGTTGACGTATTTCAAATTGACATTTTTCGAGGTGACATATTTTAAATTAGCCCCTATTAAGTTCTCCTATTTAAAGTTGACAGGTTTCAAGTCGACATGAACATAGCATTTATAAGGTTGATTTAAAAAATATCAAAAGCTGATTAACTGCCATTAATAAAGGATGACTGCGACAAGAATTATTGTCGTCAGAGAAAAACATTATTTGTTTAAAAATCCATTATTAGCGGTCAAGGCTTTGGCGTACGGCGGTCAAGGCGTTAGTACAAGGCGGTCAAGGCGTTATTACGTAACTGCCAAGGCGTTAGTGCGCGGCAGTCAAAGCGTTAGTGCACGGCGGCCAAGGCGTTAGTACACGGTGGTCAAGGCGTTAGTACACGGTGGTCAAGGCGTTAGTGCGCGGTGGTCAAGGCGTTAGTGCGCGGCAGTCAAAGCGTTAGTGCGCGGTGGTCAAGGCGTTAGTGCGCGGCAGTCAAAGCGTTAGACAAGGCGTTAGTGCGCGACGGTCAAGGCGTTAGTGCGCGGCGGTCAAGGCGTTAGTGCGCGGCGGTCAAGGCGTTAGTGCGCGGCGGTCAAGGCGTTAGTGCGCGGCGGTCAAGGCGTTAGTGCGCGGCAGTCAAGGCGTTAGTGCGCGGCGGTCAAGGCGTTAGTGCGCGGCGGTCAAGGCGTTAGTGCGCGGCGGTCAAGGCGTTAGTGCGTAACGGTATAGGCGTTAGTGCGCGATGGACAAGGCGTTAGTGCACGGCAGTCAAGGCGTTAGTGCGTAACGGTCAAGGCTGATTTTTTAATTGCTAAAATATTCTGAATTTCGAGAAGAATTTCGCGGACAGGTGATGTATCGTGAATGAATGAATGATGTCTGCACTGCTGTCGAGCCACAGAAACATTCATATATAATGTGTAAAAGACAATAAATGGAGCATTTTTAAGTGATATATTTTTTAAAAATTTCTCAATGTAGTATTTTTTTAAATAAATAAATAAAATTTCGCAATGTAGCAAGAAATTCCTAAAGTTTTTTTCAGGCGTGGAGGTCACAGCGAATATTTGTCGCATTAAATATTTAATATTGCAGAGTGTTGGAGCAATGTTGTACATTTTGCTGATATTTTATAGCGTGCATGTCTCGCAGGAATATTATATTAGAATCGTTATATTAGAATCGTTCGATATAGCAATACATTTATTGCCTAGCCTTCTTGTTATAAAGAAAGAAGTCAAACTTTTATTTCCACATGCATTACTTAAGCATCGCGACCGGTGGTTCAAGTTGCACTTTATTCTTATAGAACAAACTTAGATATTTTTGTCAGCTATCACATTAATGTAATTAATTTACAATACAAAACAATATTGTTCTAAACTACATAATACAATAATTGTTCTTAACTAGATTTGAATATATTTCTAATGGAAAAAAGTTATCAATATGAACAATGTAACTTCCTAGCATTAAGTGTATCATGTGTGAACAATGTTTACACAAAATTTCCCCGTCTTGTATGAATTGTATGAAATTTGTGTGTAGGGGTGACGTGTGTGACGCCCGTGGGGTGCTACCTCGACAGCGTCACGACTCCCCTCTTCCCCTCGTCTGCCCTCGTTTGGGTAAGTCTTCCCCTCGTCTGGGTGAGTCTTCCCCTCGTCTGCCCCCGTCTGGGTGAGTCTTCCCCTCGTCTGCCCTCGTCTGGGTGAGTCTTTCCCTCGTCTGGGTGAGTCTTCCCCTCGTCTGCCCTCGTCTGGGAGAGTCTTCCCCTCTGAGAAGTGTGAGTCAGGATGACTCACTTAATGAATGACTCACATCTTTAATATTTATTACCCAATTCCTCACAAAAACTCATTTTATTCTCTCCATTGTAGCCGTAAGCACTTGAACAATTATGAATTATCTCGAGCATGAGAATAAACAATTACTGGGACCAGGATTAATTTTAATTAATAATCACTCGTAAGAGGCATTTTTTTACATTTGAAGTTATTATGATGATTTTGAGATGTGCAATAGACAATAAAACTTTCATCAATCAATATTGCAACCATATAGGAGTGTTAATATATTATTAAAAATATTTCAGGATTATGCTAATCAATAGAAACCACTTGCAAAAAATATTTATATTGATACATTAAATTTACTTTAAATTTATTATTGCTATATTATATTTAACTCAAATTTAATTTTTAATATATATTAAGTCAAATTTAATATTAATATGATAAAATAATATAATATTTGTCACTAAAGATGAACGCGACGTCTGCGGTGGAGGCCTGCGCGGCAGCGTGCCTGGTGGAGGGCGGCACATACGCGGCCATCACTGAGACTAGCAGCTGCACCTGCACCTCAGGTGAGGGGCACCTGCACCTGCACCTCAGGTGAGGGGCACCTGCACCTGCACCTCAGGTGAGGGGCACCTGCACCTCAGGTGAAGGCCTACAATAATTTGTGTGTAATACATTTTAATATATTACCTACAAATGTGTGTATGTACATTAATATAATACATTTAATGTATTACTCACGTGGCCTGATGCTACGCTACACATCCCTGTATTACTCATATATATGTCCTCCCTAGCAAAATTTCCCTAGCAAAATTTAGAGTCGCCCCAGCTTCTGGTACTAAAAATCAGAAGCTGATGCGCCTGTAAATTTTCACTGGGTTAGGGCCCGACACTGCAACAGGGGCCGCTCAGGACTCATACCTTCAAAAAAAGTTAAGAGATCGTAAGTTCATCAGCCAATCATTGATGGCCATTCAAGCAAAATCCACCAATCATAGACAAGAAAATAGGGCGTAAGTACTTACGTTCACTTAGCAAGTTTTGAAAGTATGGCCCCAGGACTCGGGGATCACGTAAATCAGCTTCTCATTTCCCCTTCGGCCGGGCTTGAGTTTCAGCCTCTGGGCTGCTTACTAGCGCGGCATGACTCGGCCAGCCAACCCTTGTCATACTCAGGACACATTTTTCATTATATTTCATTATGTTAAATAAAATGAACACATTCACATTTTCATTACATCTCAGGACTCTTACACTTTGGACACTATTGAGTCGGAAAGCAGATGTTTGCGAAAGGCAGAATCCGATCGGGTAGCCAAGCAGAGCCAGGATAACTCTAAGCCTACTGTAGCGACTCTTGGGCTGCTGCTTAGGCGGTACCTGAATTTATTAGTTCTGATGATGCGTTACTGGTGCATTTATTACATACGGGCTTTTATGACACTTAACACGTCCTCGCGTAACTCACGTGTGCTTAAGACGTCACTGTATCACACACGTATCATGACACGTCCCTGTATCACACATGTATCATGACACGTCTCTGTATCACACATGTACCATGACACGTCCCTGTATCACACATGTATCATGACACGTCTCTGTATCACACATGTACCATGACACGTCCCTGTATCACACATGTACCATGACACGTCCCTGTATCACACATGTATCATGACACGTCCCTGTATCACACATGTATCATAACACGTCCCTGTATCACGCACGTATCATGATACGTCCCTGTATCACCAAAGTGTCCTGACGATGACACGTCACGTGCAGCGGACGCGGCGACGTTGGCGACGTTGACGACCACGTCATGCGCGGCGACGTGCGCGAGCGGCGACGTGTGTGGGGGAGCCACGGCCGCCCCCATGTCCGTCTACGCGGCTGCCGGGGGAGGACCACTCAACTTCACCATGACCGTGACCCCCGTGAGTGTCGCGGGTGAAAACCCCGTGAGTGTCGCGGGTGAAAACCCCGTAAGTGTCGCGGGAGAAATCCCCGTGAGTGACGCGGGTGTCAACCCCGTGAGTGTCGCGGGTGAAAATCTCGTGAGTGTCGCGGGTGCCAAGTACCCGCCGGCGGAGGACCTCTCAACTTCACCATGACCGTGACCTCCGTGAGTGTCGCGGGTGCCAATCCCGTAAGTGTCGCGGGTGCCAAGTGCCCCCCGGCGGAGGACCCCTCTCTTATACACATCTAGATGTGTATAAGAGACAGATATTTCGTATATAACCTCACAATATTTCGTATATAACCTCGCAATATTTCGTATATAACCTCGCAATATTT